GAGCAGAAGGAAAACAAATAGAGATTCTTGATATTTGTACAGGATCAGGATGTATTGCATTAGCATTGGCATCTAATTTACCAGATAATACATGTAAAGTTTATGGAATTGATTTGTCAGTTGAAGCGTTGGAGCTCGCAAATTTAAACCTTCGACAACAACAACAATTGAAAAATTTTGTTGATTTTTCTAAATTAGATATTTTAAATGATGAAGACGAAAAGATTAAAAGATTTGTGAAAGAAAAAAGTCTTAATGGACTAGGATTTAATTTGATAGTTAGCAATCCACCATATATAACTTATGAAGAATATGAGGATTTAATTCCGGATGTAAAATTGTGGGAAGATAAAATTGCTCTAGTGGCAGATGACCAAGGAACTCAATTTCATAATAAAATAATTTATTTGGCTAGCAAATTATTGATAAATAGTGATGATAATAATGATGATGATGATGATGATGATAATAATAATAATAATAATAATAATAATAATAATAATAATAATAATAATAATAATAGTGATGGTGAATTATTATTACCTCAACTTGTGATGGAAATTGGTGGAAAACATCAGGTTACTAAAATTATTGATGAATTGAATAAAAATGGTTTCAGATGGTATGAAGTTTGGAAAGATTCTAGAGGTATTGATAGATGTGTTGCTGCAAGGTTACAGTAGTAGTATTTATTTTACTTTTGATCCTAAGTAATTAGAATAAATCAAATGATAGTTAATACCCAAATAAAATAATTTTAAGTTATATGATAATTAAATTATTACATACGTAAATCTTGAAATCTTTTCTCTCTAAGACTATCAATAGATATCAATTTATCACATATATTTATTATTTCAGTATCATTATTATGTGATTCTTCTGAATTCATATTTGAAATACACTTTAATTCACGTAAAAAATTTGCTAAGGTTTGTAAACACCCTAAAAATAAAATACAAATGTAAATATTTATTTACAAATGTCTATAAATAACGGTCTTGAACATTATTATTAAATATTTTACTTGCATTTGCTATTTGGTTCAATTTCTAATAATTCTCTTATTGATAATATTTCACGCTCCAATAATTTAATTTTTTCTAAATTTGATAATGTAATTAATTTTAAAGATGTTGATGGTGATGACGATGATGATTCATTTTGAATTGGATCTTTTGAACCATCAAAACTTGAAGTAGTCTTAATTTCTAAAATTTATATAACAGCATTAATCATAGTTGTAATAAAAATAATAACAATAGTTGCAATGATAAAGATCCTAACCTCCGCCAACCAACCACCAATAATATAACCAAGCACTTTGGTCATCTGGATCTGTATAAAATGCTGACTTGACCAGATCAAATTCTTTTCAAATTATTTTTATAAATTAATCAATATATATATATGTATATACCAATAATAATGTTAATTATTACTAATCAATTATTACCTTTATCAATAAATGTTTTGATTTCTTCTGAATTGTAATTCCTTTCTTCAATCAAAAGTGGTAAAAGCTTGCTTCTCTGATGCCATGCTGAGTAATTGGAAAAATTTTGATTTATTTTCACTGTGGTAAAATCAAATTCTGATTCGATGATTGACTTGGAATCATCAACTGTAGATGATAATTTTGATGTGACGTATCTTCTATAATCCCATCCATGAACTATTCAAACATGTATTATATTAAATATTAGATGATATTATTATTATCACTTTTATAATTAATTACTTACAATTTCTTGAATCCATATCAAGAATTCGACCAACAATTTTCAACTCTCTCTCCCAATTAGGATTTGACATTGTTTCAAGACACCATCTACGATGATTAAATATCCAGTAAGATTTTGGATTTAATTGAAAGATTTCTTGTAAGAATCCTAACTCTGATTCTAAATGTTTTTGTATTTCTTCATTTGTACTGTCCAAAACAAAACAATTACTATTAACATTATAATTATAATTATAATTATAATTATAATTATAGTTACCAGCTAACAAATACTCCTTTTAACAATATTGTTCTTCTAAAATTCCAAATGCTATAAAAATCTGGATTTTGTGATAAGATCATAGTTGTTATATTTATTGCATCTTGATCATATTCTAATTTATCTCTCTATTAATAAATAAAAATAATTGTTAATTTAATAATCTCTTTTAATTACAAAGAAAAAAAAATATCAACCTTATCAAAGCATTTCTTTACTAATTCATTATATTCTTTGATTTTATTTGCTTCTTTTTCTCTTCTAATCCTTTCAATTTCTGCTGATGGTTTTACTCGTCTACGACCATGCTAATAAAAAAAAAAATATAATTTTAAATCGAATTATCTGTCTTTTTAAATATTTTTTAAAAAATAAATTATATAAAAAAATACCATTATTTTATTAATTGGAAAAACTCGATTTTTTTAAATCGTGTAACGTTTTTTGTTACGGGCTGGATGGCCGCAGCCGCTCGCCACACAGGATCTCATTTTTGATTTTTCCAGATTTGTTGTTGCCAGTTTGCATTTAATGAAATTTTTTACCAAGGCATATTGAGTATCCATCTTCCCTATAAAAAAAAGAGTTTAAGTGGGACCAGTAAGGCGTTTAATTGGATCGGTCGATTTTCTGCGGATTATCCATCATAGTATCGTTTGAAAATTGAAAATAATTTGTGATGTTAATAATAATGATAAATTTTGTATGAAAGAATACGACATATTACTGATTTCAAGCATGTGATCCACACAATGTAATGAAACAATTGATGAATTAGTTGAGAGCACAACCTAAAGCACTATAGGTATCTTCAATGTACTTTTTATAATAAGTTTATGAATATTGAAAAGATGTGAATGTGGCCTTGCGATTGTATACAAAGATATGTGAATAAATGACTAGATAGGATTTTTGCATTAAAAAGTTGCACAGTATTCAAATGAGATAGTGTTTACTTAAAAATATAGCACTAGTATCAATTAAATTAAATATTTAACTTTTTTTAGCTTAAAAGGTAATGTTAAACATCATAATAGTTTCGTGTTTGTATTGCAATCAATATATGTAAGATGAAACTCCTCATTATTGTTTATTCGAAAGTTTACAATAGCACGAACTAAACATTATTAATAGTAGTAATATTCTTCGCCAAAAAGATGATACTGGTGGTTCTTCATTAATCACAGACCTAGAATTATGATTCAATTCAACTTCGGGAAATTCTCTCACTTTTGTTACACATTTGGAACTGTGATGATTTTGATCTTCCATAGGTGAGATGACTATCCTTCCGGGTTTAATGTAGAATAAGCAAATATATTGTGCGCTAACTTCCTACAATTGTGTAAGATATAATTACTGTTGTAATAATTAATTTATTTTAATTTACTTGAATTCTAGTAAAGGAAAATATTTGATGAGATGATGTTCTTGTTTGATTAATCTTTGAAAATAAACATATACAAGTGTGAGGCTCCGAACAGACCCAAATTTTAAAGAAACCTGATATTGATCTGAAATTCGGTCTGGTCAAAATACATGAAAATAAATTATACAATGACATTAACACTTTTGAAACTGTTAACAATCTTTCAAAACTGTTGGCATTTTGAAACTAATTATCCACATGGACTATACCATGTAAATAGAAATTAAAGTTCATATAAGAAGGGTTTTGGTGGGAATAAAGTTCAGTTTCGGATTAATACAAGAATCTACTCTTAGATGGAAAATTTTATTATTATGCAGTAATTCTTACACCGATTTGTCATCATACAAACCAACAAATGATAATAAATTATGTAGACAGCACTTAATGCTTTGAAAATTTTCTCAATCAAAAGATATGTTTCATCTATTTCAGTATTACATGCAAGTTAATTCTAATTTACACTGTATAAATTGGCTCACTACGACATTAGTTGGAATAATATCTTGGCTAGAGGTTCAGATCGAAAATAAAAGTGATATTGGAATATTCACTTCGAATAATATTAATAATTCGAAATATTTAAGACCTTGCCTGCAATTATTCACACGAATATATCTCTTTTTACTCTATACATTTTGTTTGTTAATGAACTTCAATTTAAAATCTTTCTTGACGGATGGCAACTAGTAACGGTACAATGATGGTGAAGATAATTCGGCTGATACTCCTTCAAATAAATAAAGGTCAGACCAATCAAAGGATAGATTTGTTTGGAGGAACTTCTAAATGGGTTATGCAATAAAAATTGACTAGCAATTGTATATTTCATTTATTACATGTACATGGTATTCTTCAACCAAATGAGAAGTAAAAGTAAATATTTTGTAATTAGATGATTCAAACTAGCATATCCAATATTTATTAAAAAATTTATAGTTAGAATTAAAAAGCAAACAGATATTTGTGACTTTTCTTTATGGTTGTTCGAAATATCTATACTATTCGAAATTCATCCATTACTGAAAGCCAACAGATGTATTATAATTTTTATTTATTTAAAAAGGGGGTCAATGAACGGAAACACTAATCTTGGCATATAAAAAGAAATGGTTGTAACAAATTATGAGCACTCGGGACGTATCAAATGGAATATATATAGTAAAAGATGTGATATTTATTTGGTTGGAACACTATTTGACAACTTTTGACAAAAAGGTACAAATTGTGAAGAAGCCTTAAAGTGTAATGAGTTTGTTTAAAGATAGCATTGTAATGTTAGTAGTAGCAATAATCACAACAATAGAGATTCATCAATGAATTTGCTTGAATAAATCAATTTTTTATAAAAGGTAATATAAAAGTTCACAACTATTCATCAGTTAAAAGCATATTGTAATTATGTCAAGATTAGAAAGCAAAAAATTCATGAAAATAATATTTTTGGTATGCCTTCATGTTGTGAGAATTTGCAAATTCATTAATCATTTCTGCTTTACGTCACAACGGTTTGAAGAAACTTGCATGCCTACTTACTGCCATTATGGAAAATCAAGATGCCATTAAAACGCATTATATACAAATTGGGTATTTATCGAATTATCCCCTACACAAAAGTTTGTCCATTTGTAAATAAATGTATTGAAAACCATATAAATCCAGCTAATTTTTACTAAAAAATTTTACCAGCATGTCACAATGTCAAATAGCTTCCCAAAAGTGCATAGTTCTGCAAGTAATATCCAAGAATTATTTAGTTCAAAATTTCATTTATTGATTGGTTGATTTAAATTTCTCATGTCAATTAATATTAGACGAAGAAATTTGAGATGAGTCGATTAATATTAGTAGTACCATCTATTTTGAGTTTGTGTGATCAGGCACAAACTTAATTGTTTCGTTTTATTCATTGGTTGATTGATTTCATTTCATAATAGTGCGCAAATAGGAATATTTTGTCAAAAACTTTGTCTGGTAATAAATTGGTTTTGCACCATAGATACTGAAGTGCTCTCGAAATATACTTAAAATGTACATGAATTTTCTAAAAATACTTGAAACATCATACTAGAAACATACCTGGGAAAAAACCAAGTATATTTTAAGTATGTTGAAAAGTATGTTGAAAAGTTATTTTTAAGTATAATTTCATACACTTACAATGTACTTAAAATTCACTTAAATATTCTTATTTTTTCCACCGGTATATTTTAAATGTGTTTTGGTTGTATTTTAGGTGTATATATATAAG